ATTCCTACTCTCACAGAGACAAGTTACTGGTGATGAGAGAATTAGTGGATAGACATAGACACAACAGAAATGATAATTCAAGTTGTGTGGCCAAAGGGGAAGAGGAATATTAACTCAGCTGGACAGGGCTCAGTTGGGAAGGCTCCTCAGAGGAGGTGTTGCTTTGCTAGGGACAATTAAAAAAAAAAAAAAAAGAAGAGAGCCAGGCGCTGGTGGCTCATGCCTGTAATCCTAGCTACTCAGGAGGCTGAGATCTGAGGAGTGCTGTTCAAAGCCAGCCCGGGGAAGAAAAGTCAGTGAGACTCTTGTCTCCAATTAACCAGAAAACCAGAAGTGGCACTCTGGCTCAAGTGGTAGAGCGCTTGCCTTGAGCTGAAGAGTTCAGGGACAGAGCCCATGCACAGAGTTCAGACCCCATGACTGACAAAAAAAAAAAAAAAAAAAGAATTTACTTGGTAATAAAAGTCTAGACAAGTTCTAGGCATGGTGGAAATTGCATATGCCATCATTCAGGAGGCTGAGATAGGAGGATTTCAAGTTTAAGGTGAAATTAGGCTACATAGTGAGACCCCCATCTCCAAAAAGAAAAAAGAAAAGCGAAGAACCAGTATTTCATACTTGTAATCCCAATCCTAACTATTCAGCAGGCTGAGATCTGGAGGGTCACCGTTTGAAGCCAACCAGGGCAGAAAAAGCTGCTAGATTCCATCTCTAATTAACCAGCCAAAAGCAGTGCTAGAAGTATGCATGCCTCAAGTGGTAGAGTGCTAGCCAAATAAGCAAGCTGAGCAAGTGTAAGGCCCTGAGTTCAAATCCCATTGTCACCAAAATAAATAAATATTTAAAAATCAAGAGACAGACATTCCAGACTGGATTGAATTAAGCGAGTTCAGAAGGCAGGAAATGGAACTACAGGGCGCTCCCCATGCTGATGACTGGAGTATTAAATGTGAGCGTGGTTAATGGGTAAAATGAGGATGATGAGGCAGGCGGAGCTCTGGTGCAGTATGTACTTGGCTGAGATTCTAAGCCCTGGGCAATAGGAAGCCTCTGCAGGGCTTTGAGCAGAGAGTAACAAGGTCACATTCACTTCTCAGAAGGAACCTTCTGGGTAACCAAGGTGGAAGAAAGATGAGAGAAGTGGCAGGAGCGGGACACCCCTTTGAACACAAAGAAACACACCAGTCACGCTCCTTGCCTTTAAACCCAGCACATCAAGACGCTTGATGACACTGAAAGACGAGTCTGAGGGGTCCCGGCTGAGCACACACACAACCATGTACTTACCATACGATCAGATTTATAACGTCAGTCCACAAAGACACAGCTACCCCTAGAGACAGGCAGAGAGCCACAGGGGAATTCACACACACACACACACACACACACACACACACACACACACACACACACACACACACAGAGTGTGGCTGTCAAGGGCCCAACCCTGCTCACCCCCCCCCCCCCCCCATCTTCCCCAGGTCCCTCACCACCTCTGGCAGGAACAAAGCTGACCTTTGCCCTGTGGCCTCTGGCCTCTCCTCCCACACCCCCTGCCCCAGAGGGAGGAGCTGTTTGAAGTCTGGACTGCAGCTGGGGTTTCCTGTTGCCTGGAGGAATGTGGGAGGAATTGTGCAGGGGAGGGAGCAGCGGCCCAGGAGGAGGGCTAATGGGGGCCTGAGGGCCTTGGTCTCCTCTGTACCACAGTGAGGAGGGCTTCCTGCTTTCCTGGTCTCTTGGGCCTCGGCTCTGAGGGCTTTTTTTTCCATCCAAAAGAGGGCAAACAGGCCTGTAGTGGTTCCTGTCTTGTTCTCGGATCTGCAGCTCGATGGTTTAGAACAAACCTGAAATCTCTCAGGCTCAGTCTCCCTTCCCATGGGCTCTAGAAACCAGCACCTTCCCTGAAGCAACTCCAAGAGTGGAGACCCCCCCCCCCCAACTTCTGTATTCAGGGAGAGTGGCCCCAGGTCCTACCCAAGGTTCATCTGTGTGACCTCTTGGTAATTGTCATTAGTATTCATGACTTGAAAAATCTCTCCCCACCCCCTTTGTCAGTTTCCAGAGCATTTTCACATGGGTATTTTCAGTTATTCTTCTCAATAGTCCCGCTTCCACCCACAGGAAAACTGAGACTCAGACAAGTTAAGGACACAGCACAAGTAAAAGAAGGATCAAATCAGGTGGGTCTGGTTCCCAGTCCTTACCTCTGAATGTGATCTTTGAACTTGCAACAATATTTCCTAGGGTCTGACTGTACCCTTCTGTTTACACTGGAACAAAAGTGGCTGGACAAAATTGAACCCAGAGAGAGGGGGTCGCAGGCTCTTGGAGAACCTGAGACTCCCCTCCCTCAAATGTTTAGCTGAAAACGTTTCAAAGTGCCATGGAGAATGGACACTAGGTGGCAGTAGCAGCCCACAGGAAGACTCAGGTTGCGCTCTGGGGGACCCCGGACAATAACTTGGAGAGGATCCATAAGAAAAGCCAGCCCCCAAATGGCAGGGATACTATGCAACGTTTGGTTTCCAGGGACATTGAGTGTACCCACTCCCACTGGAGAAAGGACAGATGAGGCAGCCTGGGGTATGAGGGGTAAGCTTGGGGGGGGAAAAGTGACCCAACTTGTGTTCCCTTCATACACAGGGACTTGGGCCCCACTGCCCCCTCCCCTACCACTCACCTATCACTTAACTTCTCTCTTTCCATGCCTTTCCGAAGCTCCCCTTTGTCCCTACTTACCCCTAACCCAAGGTCCTTATCTCCTAGAAACTGTCCTGAATGACCCTATCCAACTCTCTCCCCAAACTTGATTCAGACTAGTAGGGTCTTCATAAACCTTCAGTGGAGCCTAAGGTGTATAGGGGGTGAAAGAAGGAGGTATCTGATCTTCTCTCACCCTCTCCAGTACCAAGTCCTGTGGGGTGGCACCTAAGGCAAAATATTTGTACTAACTTCCCAAGTGCATTTGACACTGCAAAGGGCCTCCAGTGACATTTTTGTTGTTGTTGTTAATATCTGACCTCATGGATAAGGATTTGAACCTAGGGCCTATCTGTCCCCAGATGGAGGCCTTGATTGGGTCATGATGCCAAATTAATAGAGCCCTTCACCTCTCCTATTCCTGCTGCACTCCACCCCAGGGCCCCTGTTCAGTCTTGGGGGGGGGTGCGGGGAAGGGTCCAACTGTCCTACAGGAAAGTTTGGGGTGTGGCAGAAGTGGAGAGAAGTCTGTAGAGAGGGAGCTGCAGTTGGCAGACTCACCACTTGCCTTTCACACATGCTGCCCATCACCCTTCAGGGTCAAAGGAAGAGTTAGAAACAAGCAGGCTAAGGACAAAGGCATTGTGGGAGGAACTTGAGGTATGAAGCAAGGTGGACTGGCCCTTTAGGCACGGGACAAAGAAATGTCAGACACACTGGGGAAGTGGAGACCAGCCCAGGACCAGTCAGAGCTGGTGTTGGTAGATATGGAGGACAGGAGACCGACTGCATTATTCACTTCCGTGTCCCCTGCAAACCTCAGTTAACATTTGTGGGACTGAAGAGGCCAGACAGGGAGGGGAAGAGGGGAAATCACAATTTTCCCTGCCCTAGCCCAGTACAGAGGTTAAGTACCGGAGCTTTGGAATTAGACTCTGGTTTAAATCAGACTTTTTTGGTTGTTGTTTTTTTTCTCTACTTCCCAATCGGGGGACCCAGGCCTCAGTTACTCCCATATCTAAAATGGAAATAGTAACACAACTTTCTGGCATTTATGGCCGGGTTCAAGGGTCCTGCAGTGCCCAGGAATCAGCCGCCAGGGCAGGCTTTCCTTCCAGAGCTTTCCAGCCACCTTCCTGGAGCGCGCACGTTTCCATGTGTGGATGGGTCGGGCAGGGGGTCTGGAGCCGGGGACTGCGGAGCAGATGTGACCCGAGGGGAGGACGCGGGTGAAAGTGCTGCGCCCCGTCGTGTCCCCCCCCCCCCCCGCCCCGCTGGCAACAGTCGCGTCTGCCCTCCGTGCTCAGTGGAACCCAGGCGTCGGCGGGACCGAGCCCGGGGCCGGATCTGAGGGGAGGGGGTCATCCCGCGCGGAGGAGGCGCTGGGGCTTCGGACGAGAAGACGCCCCCCCAAAATTGGGAGAGCTGGTCCTCTCCCCTCTGAGGCCCTCCTTCCCTTCTTCACGTGACTGGGACGCCCCAGAAAGTCGCGGACCCTTCCTCCGGCTAGTCGTCGGATTCCCTCCCGCACTCCCGGCCCATTCTCAGGCCCCGCCCACCCCTCCGCGCGCGCCCCGCCCCGAGCCGGCGCCCCTCGGAGAGACCGTGCGACCACCTCGGGGACGTGCCCAGCCCTCGCCGAGCATCGGCATCCTGTGGTGAGCCGGGCCGCGCCCCGGCCGGAGCGTCCAGGGCGCCGGGGTCCCTGTGCACTCCGGGCCGCGCCGTCGGAGCAGCCGGCGCCGCCCCGCCCTCCCCGAGCGCCGCCCGGCCGGGGCGGGGACTACAAGTCCCGGCGTGCCGCGCGCGCCCCCCCTCCGGGGTTCCGGATGGTGAGCGGCGAAGGTAAGGCGAGCTCGCAGAGGCAGCGGCGGCGGCGGCGGCGACGGAGAGAGGCAGGCGGGCGGGCAGGCAGGCAGGCAGGCAGGCAGGCGGGCAGGGCGCGGGCGAGAGACGGAGGGAGGGAGCGAGCGAGGCAGACCAGACAGACAGACAGGCGGGCGGGCGGGCGGGCGGGCGGAGCGAGCGGGCAGAGCGAGCCACCCGCCAGGCTGCGCTCAGCCCCGCTCGCAGCGGAGAGCAGAAGGCAGGAGGAGGGCGGAGAGGAGGGCGGAGGGAGAGAGGGAATCCAGCTTCCACCACCCCGAGCCAGCGTCTGCTTTCTGTCCTCATTTCCTTTTCCCACCCAGCCCGGAGAGCAGAGAAAGGCAGCGCGAGCGAGAGCTAGAGACCTGCAGACAGGCAGACAGACAGACGGACGGACGGACGGACGGAGCGGGGAGCGGGCGGGAGGGGGCGGCGGAGGAGGAGCCGGAGGACGGCGCGGGGCGCGTTCCCTCCCAGGTTTGCGATTGGGGAGGGCCGGGGGCGGGGGTGTCCGGGGTTGTGAGAGTGCGCGGCGGGGGGCGGCCGGGGTGGGGGGCCGCCGCGGGGACCCGGGGGCCGTGTCCGGCGGAGTTAGCGGCGGAGAACGTGAGCCGAGGCGCGAGCCATGCTGTCAGCGACGGCAGGCTGCTCAGGGCTCCTCCGCGACTCCTCTCCCTAGCAGCCGGGCGCCCGCGTCGCTGCCACCGCCGGAAGACAGACGCCCCCCGAAGCCCCTCGCCTGGCTCGGACCCACGGAGCCGGCAGCCCAGCACTCCGGTGAGTGGCGCCCTGCTCCCTGGCCCTAGACCCCCGCAGGGGACCGGCCGTCCGGGCTCTTTTGTGCAGCGCACGGGGTGGGGGGGGCCCGCACCCCCCGGTCCGGTCCGCCGGACCCTGTGGCTGCGGTGCCAGCACTGCGATCGGTCTTTGTTTCCACCGGGGCCCGCGGCTCGGCTGGGCTCGGCTCGAAGCCTGGCAGGCAGCGCCGGGAAGGGGGAGGGGGAGGTGGACGGGGAGGGGGGGCTGGAAGGGGGGGGGTTCTCGGGTTTCCTGGCCGCCCCGCGGCTCCCCGGCTCGGGGGCGAGGTGCGCGCCCAGCGCTGCCGCGCACCCCCTCCTCCTTCCCCCTCCCTCCGCCTTTGGATTTAAAACTGCAATTTGCTCTCCAGCTTGCTGAGAATGTGGGGTGGGGGGGGGCATGAAGGGGGACCGTGGGAGCGGAGAACAAGGCTGGATTTTAGGATCGGCGCTGGGAAACGGGGAGACTGCGGAGGGAAGAGCCCCTCCCCTCCAGCCCCCAAATCCCAAGGTTCCGCTGGCGCCCCGGGAGTTGAGGGGCGGAGACCTAATGACCCGGAGGGGGTGTGGGGTGGAGGAGGGATTTGGGGGCGGCCCGGGCCGGAGGGGTTGGGCCGCGTGCCCGGTTACCTGGCGAACAAAGTCGGCTCACTTTTGCATAAATAAATAAATAACGGCCTATCAATGCGTTTCCTCTAGGGCTTTGATTGAATCGGCCCCCTCTTCCCTGGGGGGGTGGGGTGCTGAGTGACAGCTGTCAGACCCCTCGGTCGGGAGCTAGGGGTAAACTGCTGAATCTCTGCTTTCTGCTGGGTCTGGGTCCGCGGGCAGAGCCAGAGGGGCAGGGGGCTGGCTCGGAGTCTAGGAAATAACCTTGTTTCCTGTTCTACAGCAACCCAGAGTTGGGGGGCTGGGGATGCAGACCGGTGGGAGCTGTGGGGAGGGCCCCCCAGCAGCTTGACCCAGCAGCTTGACCCCCCCCCCAGCCTCCTGCCAGGCAAAGGAGCCAGGCCGAGAGAGGAAGGATGTGGGCCTTGCTGGCCGGAGGCGGGAGCTGGGGCTGTCCCTGAGGCAGGCAGCGGGCACAGAGCACAGGGCGGGAGGAGGGAGAGAGAGAGAGAGAGAGAGAGAGAGAGAGAGAGAGAGAGAAGCGGGGGCGGGAATTCTCTACCGCAGACCCTAGGGGCCAGGGCCAGATGTGGAGGGGTGGGGAGTCTCCCCTCCCTCCAAGCTTGGGGGCCCTGGGGCTAGGCTGGGAGGGGCTGAGCCTGGTGCCCTCAGTTCTGCACCAGTGCCTGACTGGCAGGGCCAGCTGAATTTGGGCCCAGGCGTCACCCTGGGAGGCAGGGCTGGGCTGCACCAGCCTGGTCCCTGAGCACAAGGAGGGACCCTTGGGGGGGCCTGTGCCTGGCTGGCTGGGCAGGCGTTTCCCGCTGGACCAGTTGGTATCAGGCGGGACTTGGCCCCAGCTCCCTGGGCTGAGCTCAGGGTGTGAGGACAAGCTTTGCCTCCGGGTCAGGGTGGCCACATTTTGTCCATTGCTGCTGTTGCCGCTGGCAGGGCAGGGGCATGTGCCCAGGCCTGGGCAGAGTCCTGCCAGGGGCATTTGGGGTGTTTCTATTGTTGGCTTGTTCCTGTTCCTTGTGGCCGAGTGTGTGTGGCTGTCTGAGCTGGGGTTGCAAGTGAAAGGTTACCAGTCTGCTCTCCACTGGGGGTGGGGGGAGTGGGGGGGAGCAGGCAGGCAGGCTGGGCTGTAGTGGTAAGCTGAGGGACCCCCCAGGTGGCATATGCATGCTGCTTGCCATCTCCCTCCTTTGAGCAGATGTATATTTATTTTTATAGTAATGGAAAATCAAACTGGATAGTAAGTTGAATTCATTTTTTTCCCCTGCTGTGTCAATACTTGGAGTAACCCCCAGAGGCTGGTGAACTTCTGGCCCCAGAGCTCCCACCCTTTAGAAAGCACAAAGACCAGTGAGGGCAAGAGTTGGTTTTTTGGGGGGGAGGGGGGGCGGCAGACCCCAGCCCAAACCACCCACCCACACGTCCCCTTCCTGCCCTGGCATTGGGGCAAGTGCCCAGGTGAGCAGGAATTGCCCCCTCCCTGGGCATCCCCCCTCCTACCCCACAGCGTAGTTTGGCTATCCAGCCACCTTTCCTGGTCAGTGCCTAAGTTGTGCCGAAGCCCTCAGGGACATCCTCCTGGTGGGCTTTCTCCCCCGCCTGGGCTCTGGCCCACGTGCTGATATTTATTTTCTGTAGTAAAATCCATTTTTAATGCCGTTACTTTTGAAATAATATAGAGAGAAACAAATGTGATGTGTTTAAGTTGCCCTCTGTGAGTTTTTAATGTGATCTATGGCTGAGGTAGTGATGGAAGGAGCTGTTGGGCTTGGAGAAATTTGGTGTCATAAAGAAAAAGAGCTTGCTGTTTATTACGGTTTCTGGGCTGGGGGGTCTGGAACAAGGTCGTGGGGGCAGAGAGCCCCCAACGCCCCCAAGTGCTATGGAAACATCACTTGTCTTCTCAGTTTTATTGTATGAAGGTTCCAGGATTAATTTGCATTGCTCCCTAGCCTTTGATGGAGTCTTTGGTGGAGGGGCTTGGGAACTGGGGGGCTTTGCTCCCCCCCCCATGCTTAGATCTTGGCAGGGAGACTCCTGGAGCCCCCTGCTATGTTAAGTGGAGGTGTACTGTGGGGAGGTTGGCTGGAGTTTCAAAGGTGACGAAGGGATGGGGGTCTCCACCCAGTTGTTGTGGTTGTGCTGGAGGTTTGGGGGACTGATTGTCCCTAGCAAAAGATGTTTTTTTGGGGGGGGGGGTGTTATTCTGGTAGTGCCCCCAAAGGGACATGGCTTATTCTTGAATCAGCCCTGAGGCACTGGCTTTGAACCACTCCCTCCTGCCTGTGTTCCCCATCGGGCAAGGCTTTCCTGGAGGCAAAGCTGATGAGCTCCTCCTGCACTTCCCTTTCTACCCCCTCTGTGCCACCCCCAGGTCACCATGTGAGTGAGTGTGTGTGTGTGTGTGTGTGTGTGTGTGTGTGTGTGAGAGAGAGAGAGAGAGAGAGAGAGGAGATACAGAGCTCTGTGTCTCATGCCAGCCAGCTAGCTACCCAAGACCAGACCAGGGATGCCATGCCTGGGTAGCAGATGCCCAGGCCCTTCTGGTCTGGCTGGGTGAGGTCAAGCAGACTCACTATTATGGGATGGTGCCAAGCTCTGTCTCTGGGTTCCCTGAGTCTCCTGGGACAGAGGAGGGGGAGGGGCAAAGCCAGGATGGGATGGAGCTGGAGGAGCAAGAGGGAGCAAGGGTAACACTGTTGCTAGTGTCAGCAGATGGGCCCCCCAGGGAGAGAGAATGGAGGGAGGGAGACCCAGACAGCCACATGCTGGTGCTGAGGGGGGAAGATGGAGACTGAAGCCATTGATGAGAGGGAAAAAGGAAACAGGCAAGAGGTAGGGAATCACAGGCCTGGTCAGCGGGCCAGGGGACTCAGCCAGTCTTACACTGAAGCCACAAACAAGAGGCACTAAGGGCTTCTTACCCAGGCTGGTGTGTCGGGATTGTTACTGGAGATATCCTGGGAAGAGGAGGAGGACAGGTGGAGAGAGGAGAGAGAGAAAAAGAGAGAGAGAGGAGAGAAGAATCCCACAGGATGAGAGAAGAGTAGGAGGAATAGAGATTTAAGGGGTCTTGACTAATGGTCCCAGGTCAGGAGTAGCATTTCTTTCTTCTTTCCCGTGTCTAGGAATACAGCTAAGTGCTTCTTAGGACCTGGGGGCAGGGCCTGAGGTAGGCAGAGCACAGGTTGGTAGGTGCCTGCTACCAGGAGGAGCCCATGTTATAAAAGGTGACAGCCCCCCCCCACCTTGGGGGGAGCAGGTGGGGCGGTCATCCCTTTGGAACACCCTCCCCCACAGTTTGACAAGAGGGATCCCAGGAGTCAGGTCACAGATACTGTGCAAGGCCAGGCTGGGGCCCTGGCTCTTGCTCTTCACCTCACTGTAGTTAGAGAATTGGAACAGCTGCAGGGGGCCTCCTGGGTGCAGAGGGGAGCTGGAGCCTGGGGAGAGGAGCAGGCAGGCACCCTTGTGGCCAGAGCCCCCCTCCCCAGGGGAGGGGGAGGAGCCATTGCCGGGAGGGAAAGGGAGGGAGGAGAGAGAGGAGGGGAAACAGTGAGTCAGGCTTCCAAGAGCTAAAGGATGAGAGAGCCAGAGCTGGGAGGGAGAGGGCAGGGAAGGCTGCTCCAACAGTGGGAGAAGGAGGGGCGCAGCCAGGGGCAAGGAGAGCTGGGGGAGGCAGCCAGCCCCTGGCCTTGGCCCAGGGAGCAGAGTTGCAGCCAATATGGACTTTAGCTGCGGTGGGTCAGGAAGGAACCTGATTCTGGATTCTGGGTCTGCACAATCTTCTTTCCTCGTTCCTCATTTCTGACCCTGTGCTTCAATGCCAGGGCCTCAGAAGGAAGACAGTGTCCTCCTATACTGTTTTGGGGGGCCTCAGTTTCCCCATCCACTGTGGGGTTTGGATTGTAAGCTACTGGCAAGGGAATCAGGTAGCAAATTAGGTTGGGAAGTGGGGAAGAGATGTGGTATCAAGCTGATGGCTGTGTGCTGAGGGCATGGTTGGGCCCTGCCTTAGTGCAAGGTAGAGGGCAGGTTTTTGGGGAAACTCTTGAATTCGTGTCATTATAGTGGGGGCTGGCTGTTGGGCAAGCAGTGGGAGTCAGTATGCAGTGTGTGTGTGTGTGTGTGTGTGTGTGTGTGTGGTCTGTTCGTCCATCTGTCTAACTGACTGACTGGCCTGGCAATGGTTAAGTGGGCTGCAAGACATCTCAGAATGGCCAATGCCTTGACTAGGCCAAAGTCTGTACATGACCAGAACCAACCCCACTGTTGCTGAGGAAGCAATCATGTGATTCCTATCATATCCCTGTGGGTAGCTGGGCAGAGAGTCTTATGGTGAACCTGGCAGAAACT